TTTCATTGGCCGCTTGAAGGCCATAATTCGTGCCATAGGTGGCCAATTCGAACAAATCTAAACTTATTCTAAAATTTGATGCTTTTTCTGACATTATTTGCTTTCTTTCAACAAAATTAAAAAAAAACAAAATGTAAAAATTATGGCCTTTGACATTGTTTCAGTTTTATTATCTCACCCTGTATATCCATATGGTAATATATTTAATATCGCATCTATAAATACTCAAATATCTACATTCAAAAATGTCTTTTTGAAATGTATAAAGTCACATTTGTCATTTTTAATATTTAAAAAAATACATTTATTTAATTTCGTTATTAATTCAAATAACAGAACATTTGAACTCATCAAGAAGCGATCATGATGAAATCTTTCTCAATTAAATTAAATGTCATAAAATTTAATTATTTCATTTGGAATCTCAATCAATCTTGTGTGAATAAAAATACACATATTACTTCATTTCACAACACGATAACTGAAATATTAAATATTACCATGCAAATGTTTTTAATTTTGAAATTCATAAAAAACACACAATTTTTAATATTTACACATTTTTTCCAATTGAATATCAAATAAAAACATTATTTTCAAACTCATAAAAATACATTTTTGATGATTTCATAATACAAATTGTTAATTTCAAATAAATATTAAAACCCCATAAAATGTAATTAGTTAATAATACTGATTCTAAAGCACTCTCGCGTGTGTATAAAAATACACACATTACTTCATTGAACAACAAACAATCATCTTAATTTGTAATACTAAAAAAATACTTGTACTACAATTTTTAATATTGAACAACAATAATAATACCGAAAATATATATGACACTTTCACTCGCTTTAATATATTATGTAAATTGAGTTAAATTTGTTTTTGTTATTCTTTTTTTTTTTTGATACTCTAGTTATAATGAAATGTCATAAAACCCCACAATGACAATGATTTTAAAATTTATCAAAACAGAAATATAAAAATATTATTTCAAGAATTTCAAGCTCAGCTCTTAATTAGTATGCAAATCTCATCATGTTTTTAATAAATGAGTTTGGGGTATAAATTATCTTCCCCCTCCTCAATATTCATACTATGTACACTTGTATGTAGTATAAATGGTGATATGTTTTATTATTGTAATTTGCAAAAAAAAAAGATATAAAACTTTGTGTGAATAGTTGTTTTGTTTTGGTTTTTAATTAGAATATCGGAAATGTCGATTCCGTTTAATTTCTATTCGATGTTATGCATTATAAGTGGAATTTTGTTGAGATACTGGGGGGATGTGGCGATAAATAAAACAATAAATACATTTAATTTACGGGAATATACAGTGGAGAGAAAAAAAGAAAATATTAAACAAAATTAGGCTCCTAATGCAGATTAAAAAATATATTTTTATATGAAAATTTTAAAATTTTAAACAAATTTCGATATATAAATTAAGTCTTAACTTTCAGCTAATTTCGAAAAATCACTTTATTCCTGCCTCTACCCTCGATTGCCAGTTTCTGAAACACTTTGGACAATTTTTAAAATTTTATAAAAAATAAAACTAAAAATATAAATGAAGAATTCATGTTAAAAAATCTGTATTTACATGCACAAATGTGACGTTGGCTTTTCGAAATTTTGTACATTGTTTTCTAAGAGAACGAAAATCCGGAAAAATGTTTAACATCAATGGGCCCTAATTATCCCAAAGAAGTAATTTCACCAGATCTGAAAATAGGAAATAGACCCTGGGGAACTGGCCAGTTCAATTCATGGATTTTTCCCCGATTTTCACTCATCTGAGATGCGGTGCATTGTCTTGGTGAATTAGAAATTAATTTTTCTTTTTTTTTTTGAACCATCTAATAACGCTTCCTAATAGACGCTCTTAATCGAGTCGTTTATTTTGAACATTTTTTAAGTCCATTTTAGCTTCTAATACATACCCGTATCTTGGGTTTCTAGTAAATTTTTAAGGGTACTAAGCCTCAAATTAAATTAATACCACTTAATATTTTGAACAAAATACTTAAATATCTCGATATAAATAAAAATGGACTTAACCCACTTTTAAAATAAACGTCTCAATTGTCCTTCCATTTGAAAGGTAGTGTCTCTAATTTTAAACATGGGCTGGTGACTGTTGCGTTTTTCCACGCTTTGGAGCTGTTTCATAGAGTGCAGTTCACTTGGACTTCAAAATAGTTCCCTGACGATTTACAACAAGTCGCCAAGGACATATCTGTAGCACGGGTTCGAATCGGTCAATATTGGCTAACCCAAAATAATAAGTAATCCTCGTATGATACGCGTCACCTATTGATCAGAGCCCACAGATACTGCAAGCTTAGCTGTATAGGGGACAAAAACAAAAATCTGGTTCAATGTTTTTTATTTACCAAGAGTTTTAGTTCCTAAGTCCACTTTCCTCTACAGGAGTTGCGCAAAGTCGGTGTTGCGAAAAGCTACGTTTTTACACAATTAGCTGAGGTTACAGACATAGGTAAATTGCGACTTGTTTGAAAGACTATTTAATCTAAAACTTTAAACTGCAGAGCCCGAGGAGATGAGTTCTATAATATGGCCCAGATGTTAAACTACCGGGATAAAACTCAATAGAAATCAAAATTTTATGCAGGCGAAAAAAAGAACCTTTAACTTACACTGATCGCACTGGATCTATTTAGCTGTACACATATCAATCTGTTTACCGACAAGTGTCTTGATAATTTCTGGATTCCGTCATTTGCTCATTCGAAAGAGCAATGAGTTAAGTTATTTATAATGTTATAAACGAGGATCCTCATTAGGGTTCGGTTCCATTACCAAACTTTTCTTTGTCTCTGTTATAGACAGGGGTGGCTGGCCGACATAGAAATGTATTGATCTTCTGTAGGTCCGTTTGCATCTAGTTTTCTTGAAAGCGATGTTTCCTTGGAAACACTTTCGGAATTAGACAAAACCCGTGAAATTTGAGGATCTGGTACACTCATCCATTGACGTCTCTTGTCTTGGGGGTAGATCTCTTTTGTAGAGCCCTATTAGACTCTCTAAGATTAGAGTATATAACCAAAATCGGAATCAGCTCATCACTATTAAACTTTGTTGCGGCTTGTTTCAAATGTCTACCAAAATGTTTTCATGATCGAGGCACAGAGTGTTTATATTATGTAATTATTCTGATTTCACCAAACTTTCTTTGAAGCCCGCCCCGTCAAGGCGTCGTGAGAGGGAGATTTGCTATCATATACGATTACAAAAAAGCAAATTAAAGAGAATTCGGTTGAACAGCGCGCCCAAGAACCCCAAAATACTGAAAATTGGAGGGTGACCTTATACCCGAGAAAATGTACCTACCCAATAAGAACTCAAAGCACCAAATTGCAGCGAATTCGGTCGAAAAATGCGATCAAACCGACCAAAATACTGAATACTACCGTAAAAAGCGTACCTACATTTGTAATTTTTAGTGGATAAATTTGGTACCCAATAGGAAGCCAATGTACCAAGTTTCAGTGGTTCGGTTGAAAAGCGCACTCAAGAACCCCAAATTATTGAAAATTTGTTTATATGGGAGCTATGCCTAAACGTGAACCAATATAGCCCATCTTCCAACATTACCTCGTTTAGAGGCCAGATTGATTACAACAGACATACGGGCATGACTAAATATATACACTCCGTACTATGGTTAAGGGTATAAACATAGATTTATGAACACTTTCCTCTCTTTTGGAATTATCTGATTGACCGTGCCGAAAATCATCCACTTTTAATGATTTTTTTAACATAGCTCGTATTTGATTTTGAATTTTCTGTCTAGAAGAAAATTTTTGAAACATTCTCAATTTTACCAATATTTTAATCTTAAAATTTAGATGTATGTCCAAATTCTTTGCCCAAAAAATATATACGAGTATGATATCAACTTCTTGTCCTGACAACGGATTTCTTCTCAATGTAGAGCATTAAATTATCTTCGCCCGTCGAATAGTATGCTCTTTTGATGTTTCTCTTAACCATACAAGGTATTCGATTTTTCCTCCAGACTACTTTCAATGTTTTATCATCCAGTTGTGGAAGTCTAAAATATATTAAACATTTTAAATGGTCTAAGCATCTATGTCTACAGTAGAACTATTCTGAATTTGGAACCCCTTTTTTTCCTCTAAACAAAATATATAAATATTTTTTTATTAAAATAAAAAAATTCGATACATTATTAGGGCCTTGAAGCCGAACAAATTTCACCATATTTTAATATTTCCAGTATTTCAACCCCTAACCTCTTATGCCGATGTGCTTCGAATAAAGTTTCTATGTTCCCAATAGTTTAATCCGAAAATTATATTTATGTACACCTTTCTCTCTGTTGGAATTATCTTCTCTGGCCTTGAATATATGATCATGTCCATTCCTAACCCTTGTGGTCTCCTACTCATTGTAGGGCATTAAATAATCTACTTGGTCTCATATCACCCCTTCTTTTACCAACAATTTTAATGCGCAAATTCTTGTAACAAAAAAATTAGTATCACCTTTCCATTGGGAACACACACAAATGAATCGAATATAATCGAACATAAGCCCTGAGGAATTTGCCTTTTGGGAAATTTATCACCTTCCATTTCAAATATTAAGTCAGTGCCATACATAAATTTTACTTTTCGATCCATACAGCTTATCACCAAAAGTTTTTTTCCAAACTATTACAAAATATCAAATTAACACAGACGACGAAAAATGCATTCCTTTTGTAATTGGAAGTAGGGAGGTGGCCAGAAGCCACCTATCCATTGATGTCTGCTTTGTGTGTCTGTTGGAAATATTCCCATACACTTTAGTCTCTTTTTTTTGAAAATCCATTTTTATCCACCTAATATTTTTCTTTCTTTTTCTTCTGGTTGTTGTTGCATTTGGGTGTCATATCGCTTATTGTAATGTGAATCAAATTATGTTGGCATATTGGATTTTAATTTCATTTCTGCTTTTTTCCCACTATTTTTAGATGTCGTTGACAAAAAAAGATCCATCATTTTGTGTGGCGGCAAACGATCCACACCTGGTCAGTTTGGGCGGAGGACGTTTGAGTACGGCTGTAACAATACATAATATACCAATTGGTGAGTATGAAGAAAATGAATTTCAGAATTTTTAAAATTAAGAAATAAAAAACAAAAACAAAGACACGTGTCTATGATCACAAATCAAAGGCAGGCTGGCTGACTGGTCAGCTTTTGCCTGTCCCATATGGATTGATGGGACTTGTTATTGAAACTATGTTTAATTACTGATAAGAATATAACACAACATAGTCAAAGCGACTCTTAAGCCGGGTGGTGGGTATGCCTGCTCTACCATGTGTGCGTGAGAGTTTTGAAATTCAATGGAATTTCAAAATCATTGCCGCCAAGTCCGAATTAGTTGACAAGACAACATGTGTTTTTGTTTGATTTGAGAGAGATGATAAGGTTTTTTGTTTTTGATTTCTAATTCGTATTTTTCTTCTAGGTGACACAACAATTGGCTCATCGACCCATTGTAATATTTCCTTAAACGGCAGCGGCATCCGTCCCCTTCATTGTACCATATATCGCAGTGAAAGTAATGAAGTAACCCTGGTGCCCGAACGTGATGCCCGTATTTTAATTGATGGCAATAAAATTATGGAGGAAACAAATTTGACCCAGGGAGCCATGATAACCGTTGGCAAGTCTTACTATTTACGTTTCAATAATCCGGCTGAGGCTCATCAAATACGCACAGCCATGGGTTCGAGTGAAAGAATTTCAATGCCCCAGCTAGATTTTAGTCAAAGGAATTCCAGTAAAAGTTCTTCGGATAGTATGATGAGTGGAGATGCAATAGAGATTGAGGAGTTCTATGAGAGTAATATTCAGCCGGCAGCTACTAGGCAAAATAATAATATAAACAACAATAGTAGCATCAGTGGTAGCTCCAACAACAAGAAATCATTCTCCAGCTACAACAATTTACCTCCCATTGACATCAATGGTTTGCAGTGTCCCAAAGTTTTCACAGCCGATTTGGTTACCGTAAATCTACCAGCTGAGGATGTGCTGGGCAAGAAATTCACACCGAAATATGTACAGACCATGGCTGAGGCCCAAAGGAATGAAAAGAATCTCTTGAATGCCCGAAGGAATTTCAATCAATCCAAACAAAATAATAATATTTACGATAATGTTCCGCTAACCTCAGTTGCAGCCATGGCGGCAGGTGCATCCTCCTCACCCAAACACCATCATCAGGATCATGAAAATTCCACAAAAGTCAAAAATAATGCCTATGATCGCTATCCGAAATTGGGTCATTTACAAATTTTTCCTATGAACAGTATTAACAGTGAAATGAATACGAACACCACCACTTCTCCCAGTCAAGGGGTGGCAAGTCCCACAAATAACTCCAACACAGCAACACCCCTCTCAATTTATAATAATTTCCAAAACTCCAAAGCCGGAGATCAAGGGAAGACCAAAACGATTAGCAACAATGAAAAGGAACACTTGGATGATATGTTAAAGATATGCAGTGAATATACGGATAGGCAAAATCAAGTGGCGCCCAATGCGACCAATAACAACACCAATGCCTCCAGCAATTCTTCACCAATAGTACAAAATCGCATTATAACAAATGGTTCCTTACCTAGAGAAAGGAAATCTCCCTTCCAAAACAATGACATGCAAAAGTCTTTCGAAGGGAGTTTTAATAATCTATCAGTCACTGGAACCACTTCGGCGGATAATCCCAGTGAAAACATTTACAATTCAAGTGGTTATGAAAACGTGCGAGTCTTGGGACCCAAACGCGTTGAAATCAATGGCCAATCTAACAGTTCCATGGAAAATTATGAAAATGTGGTGGTAGGGAAATATGTACCACAAAGTCCACGAACCAAAATAAGAACCACATGTATGTCACCGAAAAAGGAACAAAGTTTCAATGCTATCATTTCACAAAAAGCCGAACCCCAGGCACAAACACGTACCACCCACAACTCGAGCAGCAGCAACAATAAACAATTGGAATATGATGAACTTCTTAGGACTTTTGGAGAAAAGTTACAAATCGAAATGGAGGCCATAGAAGAAAGTAGTCGCTATCAACCACCTACATATAGTTCTGGTAGTTCCTCTGCCAGTTCGGCTGCACATTCACCAAATTACAGCAACAACACCGCCAGTCGTAGTAATCGTAATGTTCACAATCTGAAATTGAATTTACGTTTACCCAGTTCATTGCAAAACTCACCGAAATTAAATAAGAAACCAGCACCGGCTCCTAGGACTTTACTCAAGTCCGCGAATAATTCGGGTGGTAGTTTGCCGCAACTGCAGGCAACAAAGGTAAGGGTAATCTTTGGGTTTTAATTGTTATTTTGGATATTAATTTGGGTTGTTTTTGCAGAACGACATTGATCCCTATAAGGTTAAATTGGAATTGGAGCTTCAAGCTTTACAGGATAAAATACATCGCCTGGAAGCCCAACGTAATGCCACCCGTGTTATGGAAGAAACCCAACAGGCCAAATTGAAGCAGTCAATTGAAATGAAAATGGATCAAATCAAGAAGTAAGAGAACATTTTAAGAGTATATATTTAAAGAGAATCTGGAATAGGAAAAGATGAAATGACGGACCATTTGAAGACCAATTATTTGCGATGTAAAAAGACCAATTATTTGCGATGTAAAAAGTCTTTCAAAAGACAATTTGAAATAAATTCCACAGAAAAACCCTTAACGGAAACCTTTGTGGTCTTCTTAAACAAGGGCAATTAGAGTCTAATTAGAATCGTATTCAGATTTTTATAAGCAAAGGGTAATTCGGCCTCATCTAGATGACATTTTGATCTTTGTAGATATTACCATTTGACAATCTAACCCCATTTTGTGCTTAATTATGAAGCAATGGACATTTGTAAATATCTTCATTTGGACTTCATAAAAAGGATTCCTTTACAAGACTAATTAGTCCCCACAGAGGCAAGGAAGCATCTGACAAGTAGATCTGCCGCAGTGTAATAAATTTCTAAAACCGCTTCATGGAACGGGACAAAAATACAAGACGTTGACAAGAAACTACAAAGTCAGAATCTCCAATCAATCAGAACCTTCGAGAGAGAGATAGAGAGAGAGAGAGAGAGAGACAGTAGTTTCTAAACTATAAAAACTTGTGAGAGGGTCTCTGAAGGACAGGAGATCATTGACAGTCACGAATCTCAAATCTATCAGAAGGGGGTCACTGAATGATGAGGAATCCTTGGCACCATCCACCAGTGCAAATAAATGTATGGGCGTGTTTAGGTCGCCAAAACGTAGATCCAGGAATCATTATCCAATCAGAACATTTGACAGGGTCTCTGAATGACGGGTGATCGTTGACATACTTCACTAGTGCGTCGGGCGGTAAATGCTTATTTATATTGACCAGAAGTAGAGCCCTTTAAAAAGATCTACAGAACGGCTAAAATAAAGAAACTCTTCGATCGCGTATCCAACTCTTATCAATGATTATGAAGTGGATACGAGGCGGGACTCTGAATGACAGGAGGTCATTGGCACCTTTCCCAGTGCATAGAGCGGCAAAGGCATATTTTTATTGCCCAAAAGCAGTGCCTTTATGACAGTAAAACAGTGTCGACTTCGATCGCGACTGCAATTCTAGGAACCAAACACAACCCGAGATTATGAAGACGATGCGAGGGGGTCACTGAATTACGGGAGATCATTGGCACCCTTCATCCGCACGTAGTCGTTGTTTGTTGCCTAGAAGAAGACCTATTAAACAGATCTCCAAAAAGGCGACAATAAAGCAACGCCTTTCCGACAGTATTATGACTGTAAAACTTCGACCGCGTCTGCAATTCTAGGGACCAAATCCCAAACACAACAAGTGATTATGAAGAGGATGCGAGGGGGTTGGTAGAGTGAATAGAGAGAGGATTGCGGAAGATAAAGAGGCCAACGCTGACTCTTGCCTTGTATTCTTCCGTTGCGTCGATGAAAACTCCAAGGAGAAGGTTAAAACCAAACCTTCTGTCTAAACGGGACGGGTCGGGTCTATCATCGAAGTCAGTCGACCTAAAAATCTTTTCCTATTCGACGTAGTGGATCCTAAAAACCTTCGGCGAAGCCTCGTTGTCTTTTAACAATGAATCAAGGTCACTAACTATGAAAATGATAAATTTGCGGAATTAATTCGAACATAATCCTCAAAAAATCAGTAACCAGCTTACTTCGACGAACATCCCAGGGGAGAGGTACAGGGAGAAGCTGTGAAGAGTTGAAGAGTTCAAAAGAAAAAAGTGGGATGATAGAGAATGCTTGCAGCAGCCATAGAGATTCCATGCTTCAGCTTGCCCTGTTTCCCATCAGCCCATCTACGAAACGCTGTTGTCAGCTGGACTTCTTTTACCTCGTCCATGAAAGACTCCCTTCAGCTCGTATATAAAGGCACCCCTCAACACGTCTATAAAGACTCCCTTCAGTTCTTCTATAAAGACTGCATATAGCTCGCTAATAAAAGCTCTTTAGTTCCTCTTTTACGACTCTCTTCAGCTCATCTATAAAGAAGCTCTTTATCCCTTCTGTAAAGACTTTGTACCTTTGGCTCGTTCTTAAGACTTCAGCTTATCTAAAAATACTATCATATATAGCCTATAAAGACCCCCTTAGTATATTAAGACCCCCTAAAGTATGTTATAAAAAGTATTGTTCTAATTCCCATCAATCTCTCTTCTTCTTACAGATTAAAAAATATGCTAGCGGAGAAACCCGACAACGATTGTCTAAAAGATGAATTGAAAAATATCAGTGAATCGTTGGAAAATGATCGTAAAACTTTTGAAGATTTGGAATTTCAATATTTGGAAGAAGAATCGGAATGGCATGCCTATCATGAAGAGCTGAAAGCGGAAGCCAAACAAATGGCAATCAAATTGGGAGAATTTACCAATCAACAACAACAACAATTGTCGTCCCAAACAAACAACCCAAAAGAATGGCAAACACTTTCAAAAGATTTCAAACCCAAAACAGCTGAACGTAATAATAAGCCGAAGAATTACAACACAACAATGGATGATAGCCTATCTAGTAAACCATTCGATATAGGTGAAGCCATTGGCATTATGTCCCAGTCTCTATTTGGTTCGGCGGAAATGTTATGCCCACGACGTCATACGGAAGATGTAATGTCACGTAGTGTAAATGAAAATATGTTTTTCAATAATAAAATTGAATTGCCGGGAACGAATGGTGGAGTTGGTAATGGTATGGCAAATACCAGCACACCCAAGCGTCCTCAATTACAAATCGTAAATATAGATGATGAGTGTCTGCAAGACTCCACAACTACACCAACAACGACCAAGGGAAGCAACTCAACCAGTCATACCGTGACCCAAACCAGTGAATCGGCATTTAGTAGTGCTGTACGTTTTAATTTATCTTTGGATACGGACGGGTTTGAAGTTAACCCCTTGGAGAAACGTGTACCATCGCAGGATGATATCGATCGTATATCGAAAGTAACATCCGATGCTCCGATATCATCAAACAAAGAAGGAGCTAGCACGAAAATATTCGATTCGATTAAGGAAATTGAAAGGAATCGCCAGTTGTTGTTGGCCCAGCAAGGTGAGTTGTGGCAGAGTATTTTTTTAAAGATAATGAAAAATTGGGTGTATAGCAAACTACAAGAAGTGGGATGTAAATTTCCACAACGAAAGTGACTGGTTAATAGGAAATTCTCAGCACATTTTTGCTTGTATAGGAACCGAGTGGATAAGAAGGCTAACTGTAAAAATGATCCAGCTGGCAAAAGACTTCTACAAATGTCCCATTTGTGCCTGTATTTAAATCGGTCGTTCGATTTAATGGTGTACCAATTACCAAAAGTTTGTCCGATTGCTTCGAAATTTTGCACACTATAGTGAATTAAGTCTAGAATGGAGAGTATTATGTTTAGTCTAAATCAGACCAGATTTGGATATAGCTCCCCTATATATTTTCATCGAATTTCATGAAAGTGGTTCACCAAATTCGGAATGTTTGTCCGATTGACACGAAATATTGTACAGCGTAATGTATTGAGACTAGAATGAAGTGTGCCAAATTTGATATCAATCGGTTCAGATTTATATATAGCTCCAATATATAATTTCGTCCGATTTTAGGTAAAAGGTGCACCGAAGGCCCAATGTTTGTTCGATTTAACCGAAATGTTGCAAAACTTCCTGAATTGACACTAGAATGAAGTATTCCAAATTTGATATAAATCGGTTCAGATTTAGATATAGCTCCCATATATTTGTAAAACATCGTCCGATTTCATGTAAATGTTGCATCGAATCCCGAATTTCCGTCCGATTGACACGAAATTTTGTAAAGCGTACTGAAAAATCTAGAATGATGTATGTTGACTTGTGTTCAAATCGGTTCAGATTTAGATGTAGCTCACATATATAATTTCGTCGGATTATATGTAAATGGCGGACCAAAGGCCGAATGTTTGACCGATTGAAACGAAATTTGGTATATCGTATTGAATTAAGTCTAGAATGATGTGTGTAGAATTTTGTTCAAATCGGTTCAGATTTAGATATAGCTCCCATATATAATTTCGTCCGATTTTAGGTAAATAGTCCAATGAGGACCCATCGTTGATCCGATCGACATGAACTTTGGCATAAAGTACGGGATTAAATCTGAAATGACGTGTGTGAAGTTTGATACAATTCGGTTCAGATTTATATATAGCTCCCTTGTATTATTTTGTCCGATTTCAGAAAAAATGGTCCTCTAAAGACCCCTTATTTGCCCGTTGACACCGAATTTTGCACATCGTAGTAAATTAAGTCTAGAAATACCTCCTGTGTACATTTTGCTTTGAATCGGTTGAAATTTAGATATAATTCCCATATATATTTTCGACCGATTTCATGTAAATGGCGCCCAACGATATTTGTTCATAAAAATTCTTACACATTTTGGTCAATAAGCCTTCACCGGAAATTACTTATTACAAATTTATCCACCAAATGTGTGAATCATTCAAAATTTTGTAATTTCTCTATCCCTCTCCATAACCCTGAATCTGTAGGTGTTTATTGACATTGTTAATTAAAAAACTACTAATTGTTATTCAATCACTCTTGTTATTAGTATATTTTTTCATGCATTGTTATTATCAATTATTATAATTAACAACTAACAACAACAATTTTTGTTTTTGTTTCTATTCCCCCGCTCAATAGGTCACCATGTTATTGAACATGAACGGCAAAAGATGAACGACCTAAAGAAGAGGAGTCACAGTGAAGCACGTGCCCAATATCTATCTATGGTTAATAGGAAGAGCGATGAGTAAGTAACCCAAATTGTGTTAACCATATTTGATGTTAAATAGTTGTATTAAATATTACCAATTAGAATTTTGAAATCAATTGAATTAAAAACTAAGACCAAAAAAAGTGACGTGACCACCTCCTCCATAACTAAGCTAATAATTTTTAATTTTATTATTACTGAGTTATTTCTATTTTGGTGTCAAGCCAGGTCTGTCATTCGTTCATGTATTTATGAGTGATAGATGAATGAATGGACAATGACAGTCCCACATACACTTCAATATCGAATTGATTCAAAATGTCTATGAGAGTCAATCATGCCGCAGCAATTAGCTCTAAGATCGAAATGTCTGCTATTTGTTTTTCTTGTTTACATCGTTGTGTGTCTGTCTGCCTGTCTCTATGTATTTGCATTCCGATTAAGATTTACAATTAACATACATACATTCATATTTTTTTCGTTTTTATTTGTTTGGCGATCAATATGTCCATGTCCGTTGAAGAGATTGAATTGAGAGGAGTCTTACATACAACAATGTTTTGATAAATTGATTTGATATCAAAATGTGTATGAGAAATTTCAAAACTTTTTTGTCGGAGACCGTTTTAAAGAATTCGAGAGTTTTTTAGATATACCTCCCAAATATAATTTTGTCCGATTTCATATAAATGGTACACGAATGGCCCAATAGTTGTCAGATTGTCGCGAAATGTTTCATACGTTTCTGAAATGAGTCTAAAATGGTGTGTGATTCAGATATAGATATAACTCCCACTATCAATTTCGTTCGTCAGTTCTTAGGGCTCAGTAAAGCATCTTAGTATGAGAACAATGAATTTATAAATATAAGTCCAAACTTGGGAATATTAGAAGGATGGCAGTAATTTTTAATTTCGTATATCAATGCGCCCATCTCCAGGCTATGCTATTGCAACACCTCAAAATATTCAACGGAGACTCAATAACGTATATATATATATATATATATATAAACATGATAAAAAATAACTTTCTATGTCGAACTCCCAATGCCCGTCTATTTGTGAAAATCACTAAAGAGCTCGCAATTTTTAAAATAGTGCTTCGACATTTGGCATACATCTTGCTACTACTGCTCCTAAAATCTTCGATATTGAAAATATCGTTTTTTGGTATAGCTTCCCTATAACCATACTTCTCATTTGTCGGTATTTTGAAGGTTTTAGTTGTATTTTTCAACCGAACTTGCAGTATTTTTGCATTGGAGTTTTTTGGAGGGAGAAAACATTTTTTTGTAAAAAAATTTCGTTATTTTTGACATAACTCCCTGATATAAATAGTTCTGTCCGGCCGTTTTGTAGTTGTTTTTAAAATAATTTTAAAGTCCGGACCGGAAGAGTATTAAAAAAATACATGCCTTTGGTTGCATCCAAAAAAATCTTTTAAATCCAAAAACAAAACAAAAAAACCAAAAAAAAAAACGCAGTAAGGAAAGTAGTAAAGTCGGATGGAGCCGACTATACGATACCCTTCACCAGATTCATATTGGAGCTATATCTAAATCTGAACCGATTTTTCCCAATTTTAAATAGGGTTCGTCCATGGCCCAAACAAATGAGCTGTGCCATATTTCATCCAATTCGGATCATAAATGCGACCTGTACTTTGTTTACAATTTAACGTGGACAGACGGACGGACATGCATAAATCGACTCAGAAAGTGATTCTATGCCTATTCTCAAAAGGAACCATGGGTCTATATCGATTCCTTTTGCCTATATCGATTCCTTTTGCCTTTTGCCGAAATTTTAAAAATATCGTCGCCTAAAGTTGGACCAAAAAAAAATAAATAAATTAACGTTTATCGTCGATTAAGGTTGGATATTTTTTTTTTTTAAATCCATGCCTAAAATTGGACAGAAAACTTTTAAGTCCACCACACCATTTGTTTTCAATAAAAAAAATTAAAAAATTCAGTCTAAGATTGAAATGAAAAAAAAAAAATATTTTTAAAAAATCCATATCTAATTTTGGACTAACCAAACAAAATATTTTAAAAAATCCACGACAAATACAAAGTCTGTGTTCGGATCAAGAAAATAAATTTCCTAAAAACATGTTCGCCTATATCAGGACTATAAAATAAATTTCCTAACAAATTCACGCCTACATCAGGGCTATTCAAATAAATATATTTTAAAAAACAGCATGCCTAAATTAAAAATCACGTCTAATGCTATGCCTATGTTGGGACCATAAAAATAAATTCTATAAAAAAATCCTCACCCAAGGACCACAAAAATATATTTCATAAAAAATCCTCGCCTATATCAGGGTCACAAAAATAAATTTCCTAAAGACCTTCGCCTATATAATAACAAGCTTATATCAGCACAAATCTACTTGGGATGGACCTTACAAAATATTCCAAAAAATCTACGTCTATGTTTGGAACATATAACAAGTGAAAAAAGCGTTAAGTTCGGCCATGTCGATAATTCTACAAACATATTTATCATACTGATACTAATAACGCTTGGTAGAGTATACAATCCTCAAACTACTGCAATTTACATTGCAAAGTTATATGAGGTTATGCCTAAAGTGGGACCAACATTTATTACATAGTGTAGGATTTAGCGAATATTTGGGGTTATCATTATATGAGGGCTATGCCTAATTAATGACCGATATATGTTTTTTAGCATTGTTTTTATTTAGTCTCTGCCCTTTGTTGTTATTATTTCTTTATGTTTGTTTTTTTTTTGTCTCCTAAAAATTTAAAAATATGGATTTTCAGGAGAATATATTTTGCAATCAAAATTTCCGTTGATTTTTATTTTCGAAATCTCTCATATATGTATGCATATGAATATGTCATATAGTATTGTGTTTATTTTATTATTTGTTTTTGGTTTTGCTCTCTGTTTACAATATATTACTCTTTGGGATATTTTTTGTACTTTTCAAAACTCATAATAAGATTCAAATGAATTGTGACACACAGAGCCCAGACTCAGCCGCCAGTCTAACTTAGCTTAGCTATGTTTCAAATATGCCAGTTCATTATTCATAAGCTTAGAAACAGTTTAACCAGGGGAGACAGCCAACGGCGACGACGACCTCACCTTAAAAGGTCTAAATAATAAAAAACGAAAACGAAAGCAACCGATTCTTTGAAAATTATTTTTCGAAAAGCTAAATGCCGAATACTGTGTGCATAGAAAAGAAAGAAAGAAAAAATAACAACAAAAATCAAACAAAAATAATAATACTATAATACAAAAAAAGAGCTTTGAGTAAAAAAATGCAAAGATAAACAAGTGTGTTATCGTGATCTTATCAGTGGTGGAAAAATTGAATTGAACGAAAGAAAAAAATTGAAACAGATCAGTTCTATAATTGTCACCATTGGCGCATACTGACCGACGAATTGATATACGGTGCGGTGCGTTAACGATTTGAAATACCTTTTCATTTGGTTTGTGGTTTTTTGTTGTTGTTGTTGGGGGTTTTCAATTTTGGTGAATGAAACAATTGGTGGCTGGCTAACTAACCATCACCACCTGATGCGTGCGTTCAATTGGTGGTTTAGGAAGTGTTAATTTTTTCGATTTTTTTTTGGTTCATTTAATGTGAGACAATTCAATTGAATATTACTGAGGAACCCCTTTGTGCGGTAACGTGAGTGCGCGTCATCGGCAAGTGTATTTGCGCGTCCATAACAGCCACCATTTCCAATTGAGGAGGGGGGAAGGTATAACACTTCCTCCAATTATTGTATAGAATATTGAACGTGGATTTTACTACGTTTTTTTCGGTGTGTCCGTCCGTCTGTTCATCCCGCCATCGATGATACATTCTTTGCACTGCGTCAAAAATAATTCAAAACATTGAAGTGAAAACAAAAATAAATACTGAGAATTATGAATTCATTCAGATCAACGTTTTGCTCATGGTACGCAAAAACAAAAAGAACATTTAAGTTTTTTTTTATAATTATTTTTTGTAATTGCATTTGTGTGTTTTTGTTTTTATCTTTTGCTTTTTGTTTATATTTTCCATCTATTCATTTTGTTTTGAATATTTTAAGTTTATGCGATTTTATATTTATTGTTTTTTTTTTTCTGTTTTACTCATTTTCAGCTGCATGACTAATAGCGAGGAATCTCAAACGGATTTACCTCTTCAGCAGCAGAAGCATCACCAGCAACAACAGCAGGAACAACACCCTATGCTGGACAAGGAAAATCATCGACCAACGGCCGTAGAAAGAAATAACATTAAAGTGAAATCGAATAAATCAACGAATAACGAAGATGGAGATTCATCAAATCAGGTAAATATTTTATTTAATTTATTGTGTCAATATTTTATTAAGTGGTTTTGCCCCACCACAAAAATATGTCATGCTAGTTTAATTAGCAAAGAAATTCTGTTTCCAAGGGGAACTTTTTTTATCAGGTTATCGAACAAAACAGACAGACTAATACCGAAAAACTAAATTAAAAAATAATTGGAACAATTCTAGAATATTTGTTAGTACATACGGCGAACTTCTATAAGTCGAAGCATATGTAGTGACAGTAGCACTAAGAAGGTAAATTGTAATTAATTTCAGAACTTGAAGTCCCCTGTCGAAGACTTTTTTGGGAAATATAGTAAACTAGCATATGGCCACTATTTCGTTAGTGAATGTGGGAATTTTTTTAAAAACCAATACCGACCATAATTACAATTTTAGTATTTTCTCTTATAGTACGTGCGTATTTCCTCAAGTGCCTCCATATCATAGCTCTACACACCAATACCGCAAAAGAAATCTATCTCTATACTAAATTTGATATCATTTACTAGCCCGTATACTATAATACTTATTAGTAAAACATATTTCGAAAAAAATGCAAATTTAATACCAGTTAGTACACATTAAATTTCCATAACTTCCTTCTTTCACAGTCATAGGTTCGAATTTCCTAAATATCCCAATCTTAATTCCAAATCTCGAGATTCCAACTCTATCGGTTCTCCTAAATCCCTATTATATCAAATTTAGTACCATCTAGAACACATACGTACAAATTTCCATTAATACATCAGACAATCCAATGGAAATCTTATTACCCAAAGTTAACATTCTAACTCTATCGGTTCACCCAAATCTACATTTGGTACCATTTTGTACACATTAGTACTAATTTTCAAAACTCTATACATATTCTCATCCTACACCCCAAAAGTGACCCTAACTCCAAATTTCAGGATTCCACCCCAAAAGTGACCCTAACTCCAAATTTCAGGATTCCAACTCTATTGGTTTGCACAAATTTTAATTGTACCAAATTATACAAAGACCAACTCTACACCCCCAACAGTGATCCTAACGTCAATTTTCAAGATTCCAAATTTACATTTGGTATCATTTAGTAAAAATTTCCAAAACTTCCTACATTAATTAACTCAAAACTTATTTTGTACCAAATTTAGTTCACATTAGTAGGAATTTCCATAACTTCTTGCATAACTTAATTCTATCCCCCAACAATGAACCTAACTCCAAATGTCAAGATTCCAGCTCTATCGGTTCATCAAAATCTAAATTTGGTACCATTTAGTACATATTAGTCAGCACCAAATTTCAGGATTCCAGCACCAATCAGTTCACCCAAATTCAACATTGGTACCATTTAGTACAAATTTCCAAAACTTCCCACATCGGTTAACTCAAAATTTAAATTGTACTAAATTTAGTTCACATTAGTAGGAATTTCCATAACTTCTTAAATAGCTCAATTCTATATACCAACAATGAACCTCCACCTCCAAATGTCAAGATTTCAGCTCTATCGGCTTATCAAAATCTAAAGTTGTTACCATGTAGTACACATTAGTACGAATTTCCAAAATTTCCTACATACACCAATCCTACACCCCCACAATAATCATAATTCCAAATTTCAGGATCCCAGCTTGACCGGTTCCAAATTGTACCAATTATAGTACGATTTAGTACTTTTCGTACACATAAGTAAACAATTTCCAAAACCACATACATATCCCAATCCTACATTACGACGATAATGTTAATTTCAAATTTCAGGATTCCAGCACCATTTGTACCTCCAAATTAAATTTGTACTAAATATAGTACCATATAGTACTTTTCATACACATGAGTACACTCTTTCGAAATCATCTCCTTATATTGAACCTACTTCTCAACTATAATTCGCATTACAATTTGTAAGTTTTTAGCTCTCCATTCACATGCTACGAAATTGTACCAAATTTAGTACAAAAAACCCTTTGCTACATCTATTCTACACTCAACCCAATAGCTGCACCGGTTCGTCAAATACAAATGGTACCAGATTTGGTACTTTTCGTGCCGTTCTAGTACGAAACCAGCATTATCTGACACTCACCCCAAATTTCAAGATTCTATCGCCAGCCGTTTCGTCTAGGCGTTGATGGATCGTTAAGTCAGTCAGTGAAAGAGATCAATCCTGACATGTATATCCCGACTCTGCAAAACAATAAAATACCGTCCAAAAATTACTGAGGGTTTACATCTGACTGAGTGTGTACAAATGTCGGCAACATCAACTAATTAAAATGGATTATATCGGTCCTTATTTCGATTTAACTGCCACAAAAACGGCAACGCCCGATCATCAGAAGAAAATCTAACTAATTTTAGGTATTTTGAAACCCGTTGCCGTACAAAAAATACTAAATGGTACTTAAGTTAATTAGGATCGATGGATACGATTGTGATTTTGGATATTTGGTATAAAAATGAACATTGAATGTCGAATTTTGGTCCTGTACGTTTAAGTAAGAGTTTATTTTTGGAAAATAATTACTATTTTTTTCCTGGTAGCATATGCCTTCCACCAAAGATCGTCATTTGATTCGATTTATCTGTGTGTTAGTCTCGTTTATCATTTCATTGGTTTTTATTCCAACTAAGTAGCGGTCGCCATCTAACGTTGTCCAGAAACAACGCCTCGTTGTATTTGGTACATTGGTTGTGGTCCTTGCTAATTTGGAGTTGCTATTTTCTCTAGCTGTTTAAGAAAACAATTGTTTCCTCTTGGGATCTTAGAGCTTTCAGAAAGTATCGATTAGTTATTCAGTTAGTTTCATTAACCATTCCACTGCGTTTTATTTCCGCTAAGTAATTGATTGGTCAGCTGTAGCCTGTCCTGCCATCTATCGTTATCTAGAAACAAGCATTTTAATCTGTGTGGCAATAACACATTTTTTTGTGTTATCCTCATGTGTTCATGCCGAGGGTGGTCCTTCGACTGCCAGGGTTGTTCGGATGCATTTCATCTGAAGGCCATTTTCCTTAACAAAAATATGCAGACTTCTCTTCACAAATATTTCAAACTCACTTTTAATGAATTATTCCTCCCGAAATCAATCTGGCACACTATCCACTGCATTAGACCCCTCTCCGGACGTGTATTACAATGGGTATTAAATATAGTATAATATATTATTTTGAAAACGAAAAGGGTTAGATTGTGGTAATTTGTTATTTTGAATGCTGTTTGTGTTGAGGTTTTGAGAAATTCGTTATTAGGATCAAATTATTATTAGGACCAGAGATAGAAGTGTTAAATTTGGTAATGGTATAAATGGTGATTTACGGATCCATAAAAGGCTTCGAAATAGGTGGTGAAGAATAAAGATACAAAATTACTTAATTCATTGATTGAAGGATTAAAATCGCCGACCTGACCTCTCCTGAACATTTATATGACAAATTGGGCGAAATCAGGTCATTTCTTTTGTTTCAATTTCCAATGATGAATGGTTTTTCTTCTATGTATTACCAACCACTATTGCATTGATCTCTATAAAAACACATTACCTGTTTTCTTATAAATAATAAAATTTCAGAGCTTTCTACGTCTTGTTTGAATGCTATTTTCCACCTGTTGGGGAAACCCCATTCATAATAATAGTTTATGAAATTTAAATAAAAACGTGTTTGTTTATATACAATTGTTGTTTTCTCAAAACATCAGTACTCTCCCAACAAAAATAACATCATGAAATAAATACACACACAATTTGATGTGCGTCAATTTTTCTTCTCCAAATTTTGATTGGTACATATGACGAGTAAAATTAAATTTAAACGTTTTTGTCTAATAGATTTTTTAGCACTGATAGTTTTTGTTTTTTAATTACTGACACGTGTTAATAGAGATTGAAATGTATATTTATTTATTTTTAAATTGTGCTAAATATAAGTTTGCTTAAAATAATTCAATAGTTTTAATTGCATTTTAAATACGAGGGTCAGCTTCACAGCGAAAATAATAATTTATATAATATGTTCAGTAAGGGGTGCTTATGTTCACATTTCTGCATTTTATGAACGCAATTCATAAAATTGTTCATATTTCTGCATTATAAGAATGCGATTCATAAAGTAGAATATACATGTTTCTTATCATAAAGTGAGAGTAGGTCTTGATTTTTATTTCAATTCGTGTTTAGTGGAAAGCAAAGTAGGTCCAAGGAAGATAATACGTTTGAAAATAAATATATTACGATTTCTGTTTTTTATGAATGCAATTCATAAACATTATATTCTGGTTTCTTGACAGGCAGAGAGAGATAAACATAAAACACATAAACTGGTTTTGTAAACGAAATTTATAAAACTTGTTAGGCAGAATTTAGATTCGATAGTTGCTATTGCGATAGTTGCTTTTGCGTAATAGGAACAATTCTGGATTTTATGAATGAATTTCATACATAAATCTTGAAGTACAGGTTTCTTGTCAAAGATAAAGAGAGAGAGAATATTTGGTGGTGGATGGATTGATTTTCCAATTTTCATTTTTCCTTTTTGCATTTTTTCATTTAAATTCATGCTTGCGGGAAATTAAAATAGGTCGATGTAAGTAAATAGTTTTGAAATTCATGAAACGTGTACATATTTTGCACAAAACAGTGGCATGCTCATGGTTATAATAATTTTTAATATTTGCTAAATGTGGTACAATTTGGAAAAAAGATAATAGGAATGGATTTGGGGAAAAATTTCTTTTGTGTGTTATGATGCCTCCATGATGGGAGTGATTTTTATATCTATTTTAAAAATAGCTATTGAAGTTTTTTACAAAAACAGTGGCTTCCTCATGATTATAATAAATTTGGTATACTTTCTATGAAAAAAATCATATTTTTTGTGTATGCCAAGATTTTGGGGAACACATTATTATAGTTAATTTTTAAAAATAGCTATTGATGATTTTTGTATAATTAGTAGCTAATATTCCGATCTTGATTCTCATATATAAATAAACTTGAATT